CATATGCAGCGGAATTTTTAAATAGTTTTCCTGAATCTCACTGTAGTACACTTCGCCTCTGCGTAATAATGGCATGTTTTAATTTTTTCCCCTCTTTCTCAAAGGTGTCGTAAACAGTCTACTGTCCCACCCGGCATGGACGCCCCTCAGCCGCCTGGTGTACTCTGTTTTCCTCATCCATCTGCCAGTCATGGTGTGGTTCGGGATGAGCCAGAGGACCATGCTGTATATGACCGATTCAATGATGGTAAGCCAGAGATATTTTCTGACAGTCTTCCAAATCATCTTTGTTGCTCCATCCTCCTTTTTTGACCGTCTTCCAACAGAAAAAAATAAATACCCGTCAATCCTAACTTAAAAATCTGACCGTCTGGCCGTCTTCCGGAAGACCCAGAAGACGGCCACAATCCGCCCCTGTAATATCATAACACCACTGGCGGATCCTGGTTTTTCCCAAGGGGTCGGGGGATTAGTCTGAATAAACATTGATGGAAGCCGAGCAGAAGTAAATGTAATAATAGTATTAACATTAATTATTTCCCTCCGCTTGGTATTCTGTTTGTAATATAGTTGTTTGATATATTTGGGGGGGTGGGGGGTGGAGGTTAGAACGGATAGAAAGGGCACCGTCGAAGCTTAGGGATGATTTAAATGCCGCATGCAATTTTGGTAAACTATCATTATTACTTATTTAATGCACGTTAACAACAACAGCAATAGTAATGTAATAACAATAATGTTATTAATATTGTCATTGGGGTTATTGAATGAACGTCAATGGTTAATGATTTATTTCCAGTCATATGTATTTATTTCCAGGCATACATATTCATCGGCCACGTCGTGGTTAGTTTTGGCGCCGCTTTTCTAGTGTCCTTGACGATAGAGGTCCCCCTGGTCGCGGTGGAGACAGTGCTGCTTGGTAAGAAGCAATGGAGAAGAAAATAATGACCAAGGATTTTCTCTTCTCATAACTATTTTCCATGGGTTTATTGACACATGGAAAACATGCAAGGCGGTCAGATATGGTGATGACAAACATTATGGAAAAATATAGGTCACCAGGTGACACTAGGTGCTGGTTTCGTCTCCAGAAATGCTAGCATCAGTATTTTACAAGCAATGAATCTGGCCAAGTTTCATGCTTTTATCGCAAAATTTAACAATTGGTAATGTTTTTGGACGATAAAGCTTAGTAGATAGGGCACAAATATAGCTACCAAAACCCAGCTGAGTGGGGACGACAACTCTATGAAAAGATTCTCGCTGGAAAGCGCACATAATTTGCCAAAGATATATCTGTGAACATATTGCGAAAAAAGCAATCTGCGGTTCTGGTACAAAATAGGAGAGCATTGTGCATATATGTATACCTTACAGTTGTTACAGAAGTGGAAAATTCCTGTGCTGTCTTGGGTGATAGAAACTTATCCCCATTTAATACGTCTCTACAGGTATAGCGAGACCTTTGCTTTTTTATGAATGCCATATATAGCTTGGTTTTGATAATATACACATTCTTACCAAATGTATTTTACGTTTTATCAGGCCTGAAATGTCATGTACAATGTATCGTTGATGGTGGTACCAGTAGTCGTACTACATGTGCATTATGTATGCATCTGTATGGTCTGTATTTCTATTCAACATGCAGCCTTAAATAAAACAACGTAGATGTATTGACAAAGTTCAAATGTACGTGCACCTGCATATACATGATTTTAATCGTAAATTTTAAAGTCTGCAGTTTCAAACACACCCTTAAAGTCAACGTGTCCTGTCACTTCCATTGCAACTTCAGCTAACGTCTTCATCACGACTGGATGTTTAAAATCTGGGTCAAGGTCGGCGAGAGGAACAATGGTATGGGCAAACTTCAGGGTGTCCGGATGTGGGATTTGCTGTAATTTTGTACCCGATTTGACCTTCGTGTGATCGCTTAAGGTCGTCTTCTCGGAAGTTCCCAGTGTGTCTCTGTTGAACGCCGTGAAGCTAAATGTGACGTCATCCCAAAACGAAATATCCAAATCTATGGTGTGGGGCCCATTCTTACGCAGCGGATCGCGCACGCGCAACAGCTTGTCCTCAATATCATACAACGCCCTTTTAAGATCATATGGGTCGCCAGGCGTTAGAATTTTGACGGCCATGTTGTGGTATGGCGGTTGGTTAGTGTCCAGTTGAGGCGGGGTGATAAAAACCTTGGACGCGGCAACAACAGTGGTCCTTTCTCTGAGTAATCTAACAGCATTTGTTAAGTTCTTCTCGGGACAGATGTTTGATCCAAGGGATATAAAAACGATGGGTCGGGGAAAATCTTCCCTTGTTCTTCTTATGTTAATTGTGCCAGGATTATGTACAGACTGCGGTCCCTCTTCTACCACATTAACTCTGACTTCAACCCAAGTGGTTTGAAAACCAACAATAGTTACCTTTGCGACATCTTCGGCAATGTTTTCCGGGCTGGTAAACGTATGTGACGTCACATACTCAGCGATAGTTTTTGTAACGTCACTATGCTTGAGGAATGTCCTGGCGCCATCTGCTGTTTCTTTTCCGTCTCTGGTGCCGATGCGAAGCGCTAGACTGACAGGAACATTGTTTTGCAAACAGTTCCCCGGCTGCCTGTGATCACCATGGACCTTCAAAGTGACGTCATTTATTTCAATTTCTTGATTTACCTCCATTGTACATTTCACACTGAAATGTAGAATTAAGCACGTTGGATCCTCGTTTTCCTATTTATAGATAACCAACCATTCATTCACAACAACCCAATTGTTTAGTGCTGAATTCACATAAACTCCTGTGTACTTGCACGACATATTACGTGATCGTTCAAGGTTTAACGTCTGATTCACGTGTAATCTGCTTATCTAGTGACGCTGCATGACGCAACATAGACTCCATCTATCCAATGCAAGTCACTTACGAGGATGCAGCCGCAGAAATTTGTACCACAACCTTTCTACCCTTCTGTACAATTATGGCTAACGTTTTATGTTAAGCACTAAGCCCATAATATACACAACATAGGAGTTTGGTAACTAATTAACCAACTTACGATATTGCTGATCTGTGTACGCTTTTATTGTCGTATCGTATCGTACCTACTTAATTGCTTAACGACGTCGGGGGACCTGGTTTTTCCTGACGTGTTTATCCCTTGCTAGGTAATAAACTGGGTGAAGATATAATGGCTTACAAGACTACTTCTTTCAGGACTTCTTTTACTGTATTCAAATGCAAATTGGTATCATTCGTATCCGACGTAAGATGCCATTCTTTTCCTGGTTTACAGCGTGGTTCCCTTTGTCCTCTTACAACAGGTCTGTGAACCATGCTGATCCACAGGTATCAAATGAGACTTAGTGCAGGTACGACAGGTTTGACTTTGATGGAAAAGAACTGATAACTTTTTTTCCGTATTAAAGCATTGTTTGAGACGAACACGAGGAATGTGAACTGGGTTGAATTTACAAGGAAGAGATAACGCTGAATTCGTTGATAATTCTAGTATTTTGTCCCATTTACACACGGTAGACTTAAAATAATGTGTCAAGCGAGTAACTACATGTACATTTCTTCCCAAATGTACCCAAATGTAAAACAAAGGCGCTGAGATCACTCGTGCACCGATTCGGCCGTTTTAATTTCAGTTGTACTGCGTGTGAAAATGTCGGGCGTTCAATGAATTCAACGTACTTATGATCAGCGGGCTCAACCCCCATGATACATTATCAAACGATATGAGGAAGTTAAAATTCTTATCACAATTTTCTTTTATTGCTTGGACAATTATTTTTTTCTTTCATTTTTATATATATTGACTAATTTACTAATAAAATGTGCCTTTTTAACTAACTAGAATATTTTAAAAAATGAAATAACCATCCAAAAAACAAAAGCAACCCATTTACAAAAATCAATAAAAGGTGAGTAGACTTTTATTTAGAGGGAGTTATTATATATATATTGATAATATTTTGATAAATATGAGAGATAAATACATCCGAGGTCTATCTAGATGCATCCCAACAACGGTCACATCAGTTCATGTGGTTCCAGTCATCACCGCGTGTATATACCTGATAACAATTGGCTTTGTTTGCACAGTCTTTGTCCTGGGCTCGTGCTGAATCATCACCTGCACTGCTACACTTTTGTAAGTATATTGAATAAGTCATGGTTTAATGTTTAACGCGGCGTCCTTGTTTTTAAGATAATTCCACATAGTGGACTTAAATTAATGGCAGTTAATTAACCGTATTAGGGTGAATAATCACTTGTAACAATCGAAGCATGTTTATATTATTTAATATAAACTGATGACAATTAAAACGAACAAGATAACGATTGCCGTTTAAATGCATTAGTGATTGTTAAATACCAAGTTCGAATAGTTGGCTTAGGAAATGTTGTCAAATATGGGTTATAGAAATTCGTATGCTTAATATGCTTGTTAAAGAAATCTGCTGATAGTATAACCTTATATAATCTAAGTCCATTTTTATATCTTTTTACTATAGCACATCATACGACAGTGACTCCTTTGGATGATAGTATATAAAACAAGAAATACGATACTTCACAGGAGAGCAACTCAGTAAAATACACACGTAACAACAGCTTCACGGATTAAACAGTAAATTAGACGAACTCACATGAAATGACAGATGCATCATGACGTGAAAGGACCACTTTTCAACTGTGACGTCATAAAAAAGTCAATATAACCTAGGCAAACGTCACTAACGATATGGCACGACCTATTAATAAAAACTGAATATCAAAGGACAGAATTTCGATATATAGTGTTGACGGATAAAACTATCAAATGTGATATAACAGTAGAAAAATTAAAGGAAATTTAGGAAATCACTAAATTCTATACAAAACGAACAAAACAAAGTCCTAAAATAGACACTTTATGAGACATGGTTTTCATTGACGACGACTATAATATCATTACGCCAGCTATTTATCTTATTTCAATAGTAACATGCATATTTTCACTGCTTGGCTGTTTTGTCATTTTTGCCACTTTTTTCTTGTTCAAAGAAACTCGTTCTTCTTCTCGGCAGCTCCTGCTTTACCTGTCAATTGCCGATTTCTTAGTGTGCATAAGTAACGCGACGGGTGCATCTTGGGCGATGTATATGACGTCACGACCGAACATTTCTAACGTAAACGTGACATCTGAATGCGAAAAACCTAGCCCAGTTTGCGTAGCTCAGAGTTTTATAGGGACCACTGGGTTAATTTCGTCCTTCATCTGGACGATAATCATAGCCTGGGAAGTCAGAGAATCACTTCTGAAAAATTCGCCAAGCTGGATGGATAGGTTTCAATGGATATTGCACGTCATCGCATGGGGTGTTCCACGTAAGTGTTTAGTTTTTAAAATTGTTACATTGTCCTTCAATCCAAGGAAGACTTTCTGTGATCTACTGGTATCCATGAGTAACTACAAGTATCTACACAGAAAAAAGACCTGTGGGTGAGATTAAAGTGAGAAAACCGATGTTAACTTTTATTTGAGCGTGTTATAAGTGGTTAAATATTGTGTTAAAACCAAAAACAGTTCGAAAGCTCTTAAGCAACCATATAAAATACAGCTGATCTACATATATTTATTCATTCATACAATGCACATGTATGTTATGCAGCATTTTCAATATCAGATATCATTAAGAGATTAAACAGAATTCGAAATGTATGCAAATGTTAATTAATTTAGTTATATATTCATAAATATTTCAATTATAAAATCATTGATTGCCGTTCTGCAGTCACCGTGACCGCCATAATAGCCCGATACCAGCGCCTCGGTTTCATCTACTCCCCAGACCGCAGTATAGGGGGCACTGCATTCACCGCAGGATGGTGCTGGATTAAGATCTGCCAGGCAGACTTCGACCGACATGACCTAGGTTTGTGATCTTCAATGACGTAGCCTACTATTTGTGGTCTCTGAAGGGAGTTCATTTATTTTTAAAGAATTAGCCCTTTGAACCAGGGGTGAGGGGAGGACTTACGTAGGCCTACACATCGACAAGTTAATAAAGTTTAAATGGCATATGGCTTTCAGGTAAGTGTAGTAAGCACTTAATTCAGGCTCTTTTAGAACCGACAAAAGGCAGCTGGAAACTATTTCATCGAATATAAAATAGTTCACACAATGGTAACTATATATATAAATAGGCCTATTATCTAGTTTGTTTAAGTAGAAAAATCTCTTAGGTTTAATGGTGGGACTACCTCTGGCAGCGGGTAAGGTTTGGGAAATCTTCGTCTACTTCACCGTGCCGGTAATTTACACTGCGCTTCGCTGGAATCTGAAATCCACGGCAAGTGCTCTGACGTCACGATGTGACGTCATTTTTCTCTCTTCTCATCTTAAAGTGTCAGCATTTTTTACCTCTGTCCCGTTATTTATCCTGCAAAACTCACATTTAGTCTTCTTTCCTGTAAGTTAACAATAATTTGTTTGATTTATGGACTTGCTAGGATGAATTATTATGGACCGACTTACTCCTTCATGCAGTCAATCTATCATCCCACCCTCTAACAGTATGTACAGGAAACCGTTTATTCCCTATTAGAAAAAGTGTCATTAGAGGCAGATAAAATAAACTTCTTTTCTGTCACTCAGATCCGCCAAACAGAATCTATGTACGTGGACCGAGCTACTCAAGACGCCGTGAGTCGGGCTGACCGCGTCATGAAAGCCATTCCTATCATTTTTATATTCTTACGCATTTGGGGGACCATACGATTTGTGGCTAACAGCTGCTATTGGGCAGCGTATGGGGTAGTGGAGAATCCTACATTCCACACTGTCGTCAACGTGGTATTAGCAGTATTTCAGGTACGTGTTTATTGTGTTTTTTATACGATAATATCGTCATGTCGCCTAGATGATACATGTACATTGAATTTAATGTGAACTGTCCAATCGTTACTTGGGCACCTACGTCTATATGCTGGGCATTATGGCACTTATAACAATTGCGTATAAAATTTAATCAATTCATTAATATCAATATAAGTAAATAAACAGGTAAAATAAATAAATAAAATTATTTCGAAAAAGAATAATATGTCTACATTTAAACAAGGTTACAAAATAACCAATTCATTGTTGTCCTTTTATACCAGGCATTCGGCGACAATGGACAGGGCATTGGCAACTGCCTCATTTATTGCTTCCTCACCGATTCAGTGCGCGTCCGGATATGTGCCGTCTGTGGCCTCCGCCCCGAGACCGACGACTTCGACTCCATCAGAGACTCGTTAAGCGCGGCCATCTTAGATCACACAGAGCCGAGCAGTGGTGTTGAGATAGCTCGAGGATCGAGCCACAGTCGCAGGTCCACACCTCTCAGTTCGAAAGGTTCCACCTTCGCTAAAAATACGCCCGAGGATATTTTCATAGTAGGAACGCCGACTAGTTTAAACGCAGACACCTGAAAAACGATTGATTTGAACGCTCTATAAACGACAGACAGATCCACACTATGTCAAATAATGGTATTAGAACACAGGCGTCTAAGCATAGACGCCTTAAAATAACATATGCATCTTGTAAGCTGAAAATATTATTAATTCTCAAATATGAAAAAAAATATTAACAAAAATAACATGTTTATGAAGCAGCTTGGTACATTTGCCATGCTACGTTTACCGGATAAACGACCTTAAAAAGATAACAACATTTACTGCTGTTGCAAGAAACCAGCTTTTTCATAATCTCTTTCGTGTGTGTGTGTGTGTGTGTATGTGTGTGTGTGTGTGTACGGGGTTCTATAGCTGTGAATACCAAAAAATGGTGGAGCTTTTTTAATTTGTGCCGGTATCTAGAATTGTCATGACCTTCTTATTTTTGCCCACGTGATGTTTTTATCTAGCTTGACTTTTTCAATCCATGTAATACTAGTTGATTGACCTGTATATGTACAATATATATATATATATATATATATATATATATATATATATATATATTGTACATATATATATATTACTACCACAACATGTACTACTACTACTAATAATAATAATAATAATAATTCGTCCAATTTCACTTGATAGAAGTTAGCCTATTGAACACGACTACTCTGCAAATAAATAGTATGGGGCTGCCATAACTTCTTATTTTTGCCGCCGCGAGCATCTTCAATTTTCTGTGAACAAAAAGAAATACAGAAAGAAGAAGGATAAATTCCCTACCTCGCCTATGACGTCAACGACACAGCGACACCAGGCGGCGACACGCATTCTGTCATTGTTGTCATGATCCCCATACCGCTCAGGGGCGACAGGAGGGGGGCATTTTTGATTATTCTGGATAACAAATCACATGGATAAGATAAAGCTGACCCTAACTGATATACCGGCAAAGGTCTTTAGCCTGAATTGCAGATTTTCATATACACTCCCCCTTGTATATTGTTTTATTTAAAACTTTTTTATTTTTAAAAAAGACAGTTTTGCTTCACTCAGAAAACTCAGGGTCAGGTCTGAGGACGGGCAGAGTGGAAAGTTGTCACCTCACTTCGCGCGACATTTTAAGACCAGAATGTTGTCACCCTCAACCAACTTCATGACATACATACTCAAAGCACTCCCTTAAATTTTTCTCTTGGTTTTACTTTTGCTTCTGGCTTACAGACTTTCTGGATATTTTATGTACATGTAGGTGCATGTGTTCGTGTTTTGATATTTAAACCACCCCGATTTTGACCCTCTACCTCTGGAGAAGGGGGGAGCTTTTTCAGTAATATGATATTTAGGTCAGCAAACAGCTTCTTATCAGGGGATGCTAAATTGCAGTCCATCTGTGGATTTTTATCTCATGTGCTAGGCCTATACATTACGTGATATTTGCCGATTATGTCCTGACCTAGATAACGCAGAATGGGGTGAGTTGTATTTGCACAGTAAACACAGTGAAGAGAGCAGCAAAAGGTAATTTCATCATTTTCATTTTCTTCCAACGTTGGACAACCAGTATGTGCTTTTCTTGAGAACGTAATCTTGATTGTCAACCCAGTTGCATGTTGCATTTTATTATCATTATGAATAAAAGATCCGCTGATGTTATTTGCATTTTATAAACAAGGCGATTTATATAATCTCTCCTAAATGACTGTTTGGTACTTTAAAACATGCAAAACCGGAAATACATTTAAAAGTTGTCAACAATTTCAAGATTCATTGGCGCAATGTGTGGGCGCACACCAGGTAAAGGCTGGCCTATGATGTCGCTTCTAAGAAAAAAAGATATATGTACGCTTAAAAAGTGGTTGCAATTTACTGGTCAATTTGTTAAATATTAACATTTCTTTATAGATTGGTCCACAACACGTATACAGATTCACCCAATATGGTCTTGTTATCAAGCGGTTGAGTTTGAGACTACAGCGCACCTGTAAAAACGACCTTCTGTGGAATTCTCTGGGTTTGCCACAAACCCCGTAGATTTCTATGCGGCAAGACAGGCAAAACATCTGAAAAGAAGGAAGAAAGGTGCAGATATCTGATAATACAAGTATCTCCATTGCAAGGCAAAAATGGGATCCGACTTCGATAGAAATGTGTACATTGTGGCCATAGTCACCAGCTCGCTCTCTTGTGTTGGGTGTTTTGTGGTATTTGCGGCCTGGATCTTCCTGAAGGACACCCGTTCTACAGGACGCCGCCTCCTGCTCTTCTTAACAACGGCAGACTTACTGACTGCGGTGGGCAACCTGATTGGCGCGTCTTGGGCGTTGGAGTTGTCCTCTAGCGGCCGTCCTGTCATGAACAGTTCTCAGGTCACACCTTTATTTAGTTTTCCACTTCATCTTATTTCTTTCATTCCAAGTTTTTATTTGAAAAAAAGGAACTTGAGTGTAAAATTCTATGAATGTACTACATAGTTATGTGCATTATACCAATAATCATTGCGTTTGTTCCCCTCTAACCAACGTCATTCATTCATAGGCCTACATGTAGGGCCTACAGTACAGTGCTTGTATAGGCCGACCTCTATTCCTATCACTGAATAGATCAAACTTCCAATCATTTTGTATGCATGAAGTTTATTATTTAATTCATTCATTGATTAATTAACACATCGGTGTTTCTATTCATTAATTTAGCCTACATTTCTTCTGTAAATCATGTCAAGTGTTTTGATTCCGTTTTCTGGCACCCTTGGTTTCATTGGTCTCTGACAGTATACAGTACAAGCATCAACTAGCAGCCTAGCGCAGAATTGGAAACCTACGCAGCAGCCAAGGCCCTGCGAGTAATATTGAATGTTAATTCCATGAAACACTGGGGCTTTTCTGACTGAGTGATAATTCCCAGAATCACTTTTTGTTTTTTCACTTTTTTTCTTGAATTCTCATCATACTTAAATTCCAGGCACTTCACAGCTGTCAATACCCCAACGGTATCTGCGTAGTCCAAAGCTTCCTATCCAGCGTGGGCAGCTTGGCGTCGTTCTTCTGGACCATGCTGATCGCGTGGCAGGTGAGAGAGACGCTGGTTGGCGAGCGGAGCAGCTGGATGGACAAACCCAAATACCAGTGGCTACTTCATCTCCTGGCCTGGGGTGTCCCGGGTAATAATAATAATAATAATAATAATAATAATAATAATAATAAAAATAATGCATGGTGACATTGCATACACTCAGCAAGACGTGCAAATGCGCCATTTTGCATCAGAGTTACAGTGATTCGATAAAATAAGCAACTTGATTCTAACACATTGTTTAATCATTGGTTTGTTCATTCGTTTTGTTACTTATATTTCTATTATTGCAATGATCAATAACATCATTCCTTATTAAATAAATTTTATTATTTTAGTGTTGATACTTACGGCCGCAGCAGCAGATGGCAAACTTGGCTACTGGCAAAGCTCGGAAAACCACACTTCGTTGATTCCAAAAACAACGACAGTGTCACCAAATATGTCGATGACCTTTTTTTACCATGAAACAGCATACCCTTCGCTAGATGCCACCAAACCAAGACAAGACAACACCGTCGTTGTTGCTGTTGACGGACATGCCGAAAATGCAGCATTTGAAGGGGGCGGTTACAGTGGAAGTAAAGAGGATCTTCTGCGTGGAAGTACGGCTGGTTGGTGCTGGATTAAAATCTGTGAAGGCGATGAGCTGCACTGGGGCCTAGTGGTGTTCCTCACGCTGCTCACTGGGAAGGGCTGGGAGATGGTGGCGTATATTGTGGTGCCGACCATTTACTTCAACATAAAGGGGAAGTTGCAGCGCACGGTGAGTATAGGCTTTGACGGGCTTTTGTTATTGCAGAGCCTGGCATTTCTATGCTTTGTTTCTGCCCGTGAAAGCCTGTGTCGTAATAACATTACAGTTTCTTCACATTCAAATCATAAGACATGCCACATGAATAAATATGGAATGGTTTATTTGTCCAAGGTATATTGGATATTTTACTGTACTAAACCTGCCGAAACGATTTTATTGTCCGAAGAACGTTTGGTTCCATAATTACAAGGTTATTTTGGTAGCACCACAAGATCCACTCTTTCCTCCTTACTCTTAAATAAATAAATAAATAGATAAATAAATAAATAAATCATTTAAGGTTGTTTTAGTCTTGACGCCAACAGCAACAATAATTTCAGTGTAACCTTTTATTTTAATTAAAATGATTCAATTTTTATCTTTGTAGGTCCTGAAAGCGTCAGCTTCCCGTCTGGATAAGGCAGTTTTAGAGGCCGTAAAGAAGGCCCACCGCGCGATGACGGCTGTTCCTTTAATGTTCATCGCGTTAAGGATCTGGGGGACCATCCGGTACGTGGCGAACATCACAGTCTGGATCACCGGATCATCAACAGAACCGTGGTTTGAAGTGCTGTTTAACAAGATCTTTTTGGTTTTACATGTAAGTAGTTATTTGTTTGACACCATAAGTTTCGAATGATTTACTTTATACTTTTTTCTTAGGAATGACAGGTTTTTTTGATGGTGTGCTGTTTATATTTTGATAAGTACTTTTAATAATAATTTGATAAGTACTGAAAATAGGAAGAAAGTAGTCAAACCCGGGGAAATAAGGACATGAGACGGAATTTGAGTAAAAAAAAGAAAATTAAGCATTTTATCCTAGCAAAAGTAATGTACGTCAGTGATATCTTGTACCGCATTCTATTATGATAAAGTTTTTTAGTTTTCTCTCACATATTTACATTTGGGGTCCTCTTTGTTTTTAAGGCCATAGGCGACAGCGGGCAGGGCCTTGGGAACAGCCTAATCTACTGCTTGCTTGCCGATAGGGTGCGCGATAATATCTTTAGACATTTATGCGCAAGCTGCTGTTGGAGGAGAGAAACAGGACTGCGGTACAGCCTAAACTTACCACGTGACACCTCCATGTACGATGAGTCACGTGACTACACCATAAGCGAAGATACGACCACCAGTCATAGTGGCAGCGAAAGCGAAACTAGTGAAAATGCTCCCATATTGCGTCAGAAGTATGACTTGTATACTTAATCATTTTTTCTCTTTTCATTTTATTCGTTCTGCAGACTAAATCACACGTGGGGAGATTTTGCTCTATTTATAAACCCTTTGTGTACAATTGTGTGAAGAGAAAATAATGTCGCTTCTGTAAAATACTGAAATTAAAGTTTAATTCTAAGCATTGCTTTTATTCCAAACATTGTCCACGGACTTATCAGTTTTGTTCACAAGGTTTTATTATATTGATTGTGTTGTGGAATATGTAACTGTTATGACTCAGAGCAAATAAAAGGGACCCACTGCGCGTGTTATCACTTTTGATTTTGTTTTGTTGTCTATGTGATCAGATATCTCTATTCAGAATAGATAAAAGATTGTTCCAAAACAAGCAAAACAATTAAGAGAATATGATTAAAAATTAATAAACTATCTCTGTACACCAAACTACTTTATTTCCCGTTTTCATATAGTACCAATTATAATTGAATAAATGCGGCGTTTCATAATTCTGCTTGCAGACAGCAGTAACTGAAACACCACCAAAAATGCTGATAACAATGATAATGATATATAGATTAAATGTGAAGCCCACAGCAATGGAAGCGAAAAACGCCCCTCCCCCCTGAAATTCACACTGACCTCCTTTTGTGTTGCAATGTTGACGCATATCCCACGAGTGCCTATTGAAACACTCACGTGACCTCATTAGCTGCTGTTGTGTCTAGGGTTTCTGCTTTCGTTCCAGTGCCACTACTTCAGGCATCGGGTTATATTAAATAACAATCAGAACTACACCGTGCTAGCAATGTAAGTACCATTCAAAATTAATGTTCCTCCATTATATTTTGTTTAAAGTGTTGTTAAAGCAACAGACGTCTGATAAATCTCATATTTAATTTAAATTCACTTATACGATTTAAGATGATGCGATGCCCTTGTATGTTCAATGTGGGCACCTACTTGCTTATCAACCACTCAAAAAAGCCTGTATCGGTTTGCGACCACGAAGTAGAATGAAGTGCTGAGATGTCAATATTTCCATAACCTATTGAATAAGACGTGAAAACGGGAATAGGCAGCAGGAACAGTGACTTCAGAATGCGCTTAACTGAGCCTCTGATGTAATATGATATGATTTGACATATGCTTTGTTTGCAGTGGCATGTTCAAATCCTTTATCAGCTCTTTGACATGTTCTCATTATTGTTTTATGACTGCTTTCATACCAAGCAGAACACTCATTTTTGGATGGTGACTGTCTTAACATCTGATTGAGCTACAGGCTGTTTTTTTTTTTTTTTTTACTCGCTTTCACAAGTTTCACAAGAATTCGCTTTACGGGTGTTGTCGAGGGCAGAGGCTCCCTTCAGGTGACACAGTTACTTAACCAATAATCAGGTTATTAACTTGTCCTTCTCTCAAGGTATACCGGTACATACTGTATCGCTAGTCTATATGTCTCATAGTAAAAAGTGGCATTTTTAATCAGGTTATTTTCCTTGTTGCACCAGAACAACTGGTATCTAACCACACGTTGCAACACAGTCTTGATTCTGTTCTAATATTTTATTTTACATGAAAAAATTAATTGATATAAGTGTCTGGGGGCACACGTGCATTTCCCAAACCCAAAAGAGAAATATACTTAAATTGCAATCATCTTTCTGTGTCAGAATCACCATCAGAACCGACCGCCATGGCATCAAATGTTACCACTACCTGTGGAGTGCACGACTTCCAGTGCATTGCCAGCATCGCCGCCATCGTCACTTGTATCCTTTCTTGGGGAGGCTGCTCGGTCATCTTCGCCTCGTGGACCCTGATGAAGAGCGTCCGGACTCCAAACCGACGCATGCTTCTGTATTTAACCATAGCCGATTTCTTTGTGGCAACGGGCCAGCTAATGGGGGCAAGCTGGACGCTGAATCGCCACCTGCATTCAAATGGGACAAATTACAGTTGCGACGACCCTGATCCAGTCTGCGTCGTGCAAAGCTTTGTGTCAACTTTGGCGACGATGTCGTCGTTCCTGTGGAGTATGCTGATAGCGTGGCACGTGTACAGGTCTGTCCTGGTGCCGGGGACGGGGACGTACTGGCTGGACAGACATCGCTGGGCACAGCATCTTCTGTGCTGGGGAGTACCTTGTAAGTACAGGGGTTTTTTAAGTACATATAAGTATACTGGTACAGTCTGGTAAATACATGCACGAATACGGCTCACTAAATGCACACCAATATCAGTAGTTCAGCACCTGGACATATTTTATAGGCACGTTTGGGATGAAGAAAGCCAAGATGTGTATTTCCCGTGCACGTGTCATTTTGAGTGTACTTCTTTATTATCTTTACAAGCGAAAAAAGACAAAATGTCTTCTCAACGTACATGTTCTTTTGGTTTTGGAATTCCCTTGAACAAACTAGGACATACACAGATAGGGCATTTACTTTTCCACGAGAAAAATAAAAGCAATTTATATACTGCAATTACATTAACTCTGAGCGCTGCTTACAAGTAAATGACTACTACCAGAAAACTCAACCACTTCCTTCTCCGGACATTTGGTACGTGTATAGATAATGTTACAAAATGCAACAATATCATATTCAAGAAAGTTTCACTCTCAGGAATCTCCTGCTTACATTTATGGCACTGGCATATAGCTTAACTTGAAATTTACAGTGAACTTTTATTTCATGCGTTTTTTTAATCATAGTGGTCATTGTGGTGGTCACTGTGTGTTGTGGTAGGCTTGGACTGGACACTGTCAAAGGCAAGAACGTACCCACAATTGCCAGTGGAATATGGTGTTGGATAAGAACTTGTGAAGATGACTTGATGAAAGGAAATGGGACCGCCCCAGAAATGCCTGCGGTAATGACTTTCTACATGATCACCGGGCAGTTTTGGGTATACCTGGCGTTTCTTGTAATTCCCACGTGTTATATCCGGACGAAAAGAAGGATAAGTTCATCGGTATGCTCTCTCTCTCTCTCTCTCTCTCTCTCTCTCTCTCTCTGTGGGTGTGTGATTGTGTGCACGTGTATGTTCGCTATTCCTATAAATCCTATTCAACGTACACTTCATTTACGAAACCACCAACCGTAAAAATTACAATACTGCTCAAAATAAAAAAGGTTCTATACGGAGATGTATTTTTAAAATGATATATATATATGAGAGTCATTTTCATTTTCCTTACGTTTGAAGGTCAACACCTCCTCCTACAACTCAGATGCGTTATTTGAGAGTGCTCAAGAAGCCGACCGCCTCATGACTTGGGTGCCTGTCACATTTTTACTGCTGCGGATGTGGAGCTGCATCCGTTTTGTCGGCAATATACTCCTAGTCTTTAATGAAGAGACGCCGTCACAAGTGTATACTGTGCTATTTAATCAGGTGTTTCTGGTGATACAGGTAAATGACGCCTTTATTTTATTATTGTTATTATTTTATAATTATTATTGTTGAAAGAAAAACATCGTGTTCGCATGCAATTCTTTCTGCCTGGTATGCAATATTGGTGTTGGTCTACTATAATATACATTTTACTACTAAAATACTGTATTTAATTATTTTCTTTGTCTCCAGGCAGTCGGAGACAGCGCCCAGGGGTTCACCAACTGTGTCCTGTACTGCTTACTCACAGACTCCGTCAGAATTGAGCTCAAGAAAAAACTCGGCTTGCGTATAGGTCTCGTACGAGACACGCAAACTGAGGCGAGTAGGTCAGGACCAGGCGAGTGGGCCCGCGTCCACCGAGAAAGACAACACAGAGACAAAGGGTCGATGCATGCTCAACTGAATATCCAACATGAAAGTGACTCAGAGACAGAACCGCTACTGCGGTCTTCTTTTAATGCCAGTACCCCCACTTAATGAACCTAAGGGTGTAGTCCCAGAGATTTAGATCGATCCAGGGATTAAGATTTAAATCGACCTAACTCCCTGGGGGTTCACGCTAAATTGCAGTCAGCCGAGCGCGCACCATAGTTAATTACCCCCTTACAGCTTTCAGTAGGCGGGACAGACGCTTAAGCCGGCTAAGCTGACAGTAATCTAGTGAGACTCCCCACAGGGATAGATCGATCTAAAATCTATGGAAATGGGGTCTAAACGTTCGCCCGCAGTTCAGGGCCCGTAACTCGAAAGCATCGCTCACTGTGACAGAGCGCAAGCGTCTCGATTCCATAACTCGCTCGTACTCGCCCCATATAATACATTGTAGCCTCTATGTGATATCGCTATTCGCAATACGCGATGCTTTTAAGTTACGTTGCCCAGGGCAGTTCCCTTGGGGGTCAGGGGTGGGGGTACTATCGGGGATGGTGCACTCAGTCTTGTTTCGCTAATTGTTTGATTTGCATACGTGCAAGAGTGCATATCTCAACGGGCTTGTTTCCATTAATTACAAAACAGGGCTCGTTTTTATTTTCTGAAAAGGGTGACCTTTTTACCACCCTTTACGCCTTAGTTGACCCAGTTTGACGGATGCTTCGGATTAAATCAAACTTATCACGATAAGCCTTAACTGACCAAAAGAACTACCTTCATCACCTCTATCCCAGCACCGGGTGTCGGGTGTTTATTTAGAGCAGAATTGTTTAGGCATAATTGAACTACTATTGACACACCGCACTGCACCTGCGGTGCCCTTGAAACTCCTCTGCACTTCTTTTTCAGATGCCCCTCACTCAATTTAAGGTACCCTCCCCTTTACCAAAAAATAAATGAAATTCTACATGAACGAAAGACCTCTTTTAAAACACAAAAGAAAAGTTGTCCCTATTTCTCTACGGTCATGGATCTCCAACATTTCTTCATTTCTTTTGAATAAACGTTGTTAAAAAAAATCCCAGCACCATCCCACTATCCGCATCTATTCCACCATCATCTCGGTGACTACCCACCTCTGTCCCACCATATACCTCTATTCTATTAGCCTACCATCTCACCATCATCCCACCACCAACTTCTATTACGTCACTATCCCACCGCCCACTTCTATCCCACCACCCACCGTTATTTCACCTTTTCCCACCAGCCACTTCTATCCCATCACCCATCTCTATAACATTACCATCCCACCACCCACTTCTATCCCACCACCCACTTCTGTTCTATTACCATCCCTCCACCCGCCCCCATCCCACCACCCACTCAAAAAGAACTGGAGTATCACTCCGTGCTTCACTGTAACTGTAAAGTTTCTTTTGCTCTCTTTGTTGAAGTAGTCATAATATATTGCTTGGGTTTTAAATGTAACTTAAAATTGTGATAAGTGATTTTTTTAATTGATGGGACAGATCAGTTTAGCTTCTGACATTAGTGTTATGCTTTGTATCCGTTTTCAAAAACATTAATATTAACAGAGATGAGGCGGTTGTTGCTGGCCTCAGATAACATCATGCACATTTTAATGATTTGAACTTTGATCCACATGTTTCTATAGACTTATCATTACAGTATTTGTTTTCATCTCAACGTGATAAGAAATATATTTTTTTCCAGGGCTATGTGCGTATGACAGTCTATTGAAATAGGCATCACAATCACCTTGTTTTTATTGTTTGAATTTTTGATTTTTGAATAAAAGGGCGCACGTGTCCCGTTGTAGCTCATCTCCTTACAATGATCTTACAAAACTTTTCTCTGAATCTTCGTCATTTTACAAAATCGGTGATTTTTTTTTCTCGCCAAGTAAGAAGCCTGCAGTTTAAAAGAGTGAAAAAAGGGATCTTTTAATTGCCCCATTAATTGATCTAAATTGATACATGACAAAGAGCCTAGATCAAGTTTTGATTCTTTTGGTGTGAAGAAAACAAAGGGCTCTCTTCTGACCCATGACCTCTTTAGGTCACGATACTGAGGCAGAGCTTGGACAAATAACGTTTTATTTGTTCAAAGGCAGGTAGTAAAATATAATAGTAGTAAGAATTGATTTAATCAGTGGCATTTGAAGTACTAGTCTAAACTTGTTCCTGTGTAGCGTGACAGAGAGTCCCCATGCTGAGTCTCCTTCCCAGTCATTTGTACGGGTATGCCTCGCCCTAGATTTTTACCCACTTAGGTCAGGCTAACTTTAACCATTATAACTAAATGGAGGGCGGACTTTCTGTTGCAGGGACCCTCAGTTTCGTTACACCGAGTCTGTGTAAAATATTATAAAGAGGTTCCAATATGGTTCCAACAATGTCGTTTTTATAATAAATAAATAAATAAATAAATAAATAAATAAATGTTGCGGTTTATTATTTAAGGTTGTTTTAGTCTTATACACTTCGGCCAACAGCAACAATATTTCGATGTAACCTTTTATTATAATTATTCAATTTTTATCTTTGTAGGTCATGAAAGCGTCAGCTTCCCGCCTGGATAAGATAGTTTTAGAGGCCGTGAAAAAGGCCCATCGCGCGATGACGGCTGTTCCTTTAATGTTCATCGCGTTAAGGATCTGGGGGACCATCCGATACGTGGCGAACATCACAGTCTGGATCACCGGATTACCAACAGAACCCTGGTTTGAACTGCTATTTAACAAGATCTTTTTGGTTTTACATGTAAGAAGTTGTTTGTTTGACAACAACAGTTTCAAATAGTTTACTTTATTAACACTTTTTCATTGTGCCCTGTTTATGTTTTGTGAAGTTTTTTTAAACAGAAGGAAATGAAAGGATATAAAACGGAATGTGAAAAAAAAAAAAGAAAATTTAGTATTTTATCCAGACATAGGAAATGTACTTCAATGATATCTTATACTAAAAAATAAATTCTACAATAAATTAACTTCTACAATTAAGTTTTTAGTTTTATCTCACATATTTAAATTTGAGAATTTCTTTGTTTTTAAGGCTATAGGCGACAGCGGGCAGGGCCTTGGCAACAGCCTTATCTACTGCCTGCTTGCCGATAGGGTGCGCGATAATATCGTTAGACATTTGTGCGCAAGCTGTTGTTGGAGGAGACCAACACACATCCTGAACTTACCACGTGACACCGTCATGTACGATGAGTCACGTGACTACACCATAAGCGAAGATACGACCACCAGTCGGAGCCACAGTGGCATCGAAAGTGAAAGCGAAACTAGCGAAAATACCCCGATATTGCGTCAAAAGTATGACTTGTATACGTGATCAATTTCTGTATACATTTTATTCGTTCTGCAGACTAAATCACACGTGGGGAGATTTTGCTCTATTTATAAACCCTATGTGTACAATTGTGTGAAGAGGAAATAATGTCGCTTCTGTAAAATAATGAAATTAAAGCTTAATTATAAGCATTGCTTTTATTTCAAACATAGTCCACGGACTTATCAGTTTTGTTCACAAGGTTTTATTATATCGATTGTGTTGTGGAATATGTAACTGTTATGACTCAAAGCAAATAAAAGAACAGACTGTGGACCCATTGCTCGCGTTATCACTTTTATGTGATTAGACATACCTGTTCAGAATAGATAAAAGATGGTTCCAAAACAAGTAAAACAATTAAGATAATATGGTTAAATATTAATTAACTATCCCTGTATACCCAACTGCTTTTATTTCCCGTTTTCCGGCAGTACCAAAGTATAATTGAATAAATGCATCATTTCACAATTCTGCTTGCAGACAGCAGTAACTGAAACACCACCAAAAATGATGATATCAATGATAATGATAAATTAATTAAATGTTAAGCCCACAGCAATGGAAACAAAATAAAAACAAAATAACCCCCCCCCCCCCCAATTCATACCGACCTACTTTTGTGTTACAATGTTGACGCATTTCTCGCGCTTGCCTATCGCAACACTCACGCGACCTCATTAGCGCTGCTGTTGTGTCTAGCTTTCGTTCTAGTGCCACTACTTCCGGCATTGGGATATATTTTAATCGAACAAAGCTACGCCGCACTAGCAATGTAAGTACCATTCAAAATGTTCCACCATTATGTTTTTTTAATGTGAACAGAGGCCTTATTAAAGCAACAGACATCTGATTAATTAATTTAATTTAGATTCGCTGATACGATTTAAGATGATGCGATACCCTTGTATGTTCATGCACTAGCTTATCAATCACTAAAAGGAAACCTGTATCGGTTTGCGACAACCAAGTAGAATGAAATGCTGAGATTTCAATATTTCTATAACCTATTGAATAAGACTTGAATAGTGACTTCAGAGTGCGCTTAACTGAGCCTTTGATATAATATGATACCGTATGATTTGATTTGACATATACTCTGTTTGCAGTAGCATGTTCAGAGCCTTTATCAGCTCTTTGATGGTTTTTTATTGTATGACTGCTTTCACACCAAGCGGTACACTCTTTTCGGGAGGTTGAGTGTCTTAACATCTAATTGCACTACAGGGTGTTTTTTACTCGCTTTCACAAGTTCGAATTCACTTGACGGGTGTTGTCGAGGGCAGAGGCTCCGTTCAGGTGTCACAATCACTTACGCAATAGCCAGGGCCCAGTTTCATGAAAGACGTTAAGCACGAACCAGTGTTTAAGTCTGACCAGTGGATAAATTCTCCTAACACCCATTAACTAAACGACGGTTGAAATTGTTTTTTTATAAACAGTGTATAAACAGCCGGTTAGATAACTGACCTTTAAATATTTTATCCAGTTAAACACTGGTCAGTTAACTAACCGGCTGTGACATATGTTTAATCAGATTATTTTCCTTGTTGCACCAGAACAACGGGTATCTAACCACACGTTGCAACACAGTCTTGATTCTGACCTAATATTTTATTTTACATGTAAAAATTAATTGATATAAGTGTCTGGGGGGCATACGTGCATTCCCTGAACCCAAAAAAGAAATATACTGAAATTGCAACCATCTTTCTTCACCAGAATCAACATCGGAACCGACTGTGCACCATGGCATCAAATGTTACCTGTGGAGTGCACGACTTCCAGTGCATTGCCAGCATCGCCGCCATCGTCACTTGTATCCTGTCTTGGGGAGGCTGCTCGGTCATCTTTGCCTCATGGATCCTGATGAAGAGAGTCCGGACTCCAAACCGACGCATGCTTCTGTATTTAACCATCGCCGATTTCTTTGTGGCAACGGGCCAGCTAATGGGGGCAAGCTGGACGCTGAATCGCCACCTGCATCATGATGCAAGAAATTCAAATTGCAGTGGCGCTCATCCAGTCTGCGTGGCGCAAAGTTTTGTGTCAACTTTGGCGACGATGTCGTCGTTCCTGTGGAGCATGCTGATAGCGTGGCACGTCTACAGGTCGGTTCTGGTGCCGGGGACGGGGACGTACTGGCTGGACAGACACCGCTGGGCGCAGCATCTTCTGTGCTGGGGAGTACCTTGTAAGTACAGAGGACTTGAGTACATTATAAGTTTTCTGGTAGGCCTACATACATGTGCGAGTACGCAGTGCATTTACGTGCATTAAAGTGCTTACTAAATCTTCATCAAAATCAGTATTTCAGCACCTGGGTCATGTTTAATAAGCACGTTGGGGGCGAAGAAAGCCTAGATAAGTATTTCCCGTGAACATATTATTTGAACGTACTTTTTTATTATTTTCTTTATATACGAAAAAGGACAAAATGTTAGGTTTCACATATGTACTGAACGTACTTTTGGTTATGGAATTCATTACCATTGAACACACTAAAGGGCATGTACAGAAAGGGCATTTACTTTTGCACAGGAAAAATAGAAGCAATTAACATACTGAAATAGCAACCACTTCCCCTTCTGGACATCTAATATATATGCATGTAATGCTACAAAATGCAACAGTATCATATTCAAGAAAGTTTCACTCTCATGAATTTCATGCTTACTTGTATGGCACCGACAAAAATATTTAGGTGAACTTAAAATTTTCAGTGGACTTTTACTTGTGTTTTCTCGTTTATCACAGTGGTCATTGTGGTGGTCGCTCTGAGCTGTAAGAGGCTTGGACTGGACACTGTCAATGTCGAAGGCAACAACGTACCCACAATTGCCAGTGGAATATGGTGTTGGATAAGAACTTGTAAAGATGACTTGATGATAGGAAACAGAACCGCCCCAGAGATGCCTGCGGTAATGACTTTCTACATGATCACCGGGCAGTTTTGGGTATACCTGGCGTTTCTTGTCATCCCCACGTGTTATATTCGGACGAAAAGAAGGATAAAACCATCGGTATGCTCTCTCTCTCTCTCTCTCTCTCTCTCTCTCTCTCTCTCTCTGTGTGTGTGTGTGTGCTTATGCGTGCTTGTATGCATGCTATTCCTAAAAAATCTTATTCAACGCACACTACATATACGAAATCACCAACCGTAAAAATTACAATACTGCTCAAAATAAAAAAGACTCTATACGGAGATGAATTTTTAAAATTATATTTAAGAGTCGTTTCCATTTTCCTTACGTTTGAAGGTCAACAGTTCCTCCTACAACTCAGCTGCGTTATTTGAGAGTGCTCAAGAAGCCGACCGCCTCATGACTTGGGTGCCTGTCACACTTCTACTGTTGCGGATGTGGAGCTGCGTTCGTTTTGTCGGCAATATAATCCTCATCTTTAATGAAAAGACAGATGATTATATGTTAACTGTGCTATTTAATCAGGTGTTTCTGGTGATGCAGGTAAATGGCGCTTCTGTTATTATTATTATTATTATTATTATTATTATTATTGTTGTTGTTGTTGTTGATGTTATTATTATTATTATTATTATTATTATTATTATTTATTGAAAGAAAAACAACCTGCTCGCATGCAATTCGCGTTTCTTTCTGCCTGGTATGCGATGTTGGTGTTGTTCTACTATAATATACATTTTTATACTAAAATATTGTATGTTTTCTCTATCTCCAGGCGGTCGGTGACAGCGCCCAAGGGTTCACCAACTGTGTCCTGTACTGCTTACTCACTGACTCCGTCAGAATAGAGCTCAAGAAAAAACTCGGCTTGCGTCTAGGTATCGGACGAGACACGCAAACTGAGGCGAGTGGGCCAGGACCAGGCGAGTTTTCCGACACCCGCAGAGAAAGACAACACAGAGACGAAGGGTCGATGCATCCTCAACTGAATTCCCCACATGAAAGTAACTCAGACACAGAGCCGCTACTGCGGTCATCTATTAATTCCCGTACCCCCACTTAATGCACTTAAACGTCTGCCCGCAGTCCAGGGCAGGTCCTTTGGGGGTCAGGGGTGGGCGTACATGTACAATCGGGGGTGGTGCATTTCATCTTGTTTCGCTAATTGTTTGATTTGCATTAGTGCAAGAGTACATAATATCGCAACGGGCTTGTTGCCATTAATTACAAAAGAGGGTTCGTTTTTTAATTTTCTGAAAAGGGTGACCTTCCCCCCCCCCCTTAGTTGACCCAGTTTGACGGATGCTTCGGATTAAATCAAACTAATTACAATGAACCTTATCTGACTAAAAGGAACACTTTAATCACCTCTATCCCAGCACCATCCCACTATCCACATCTATACCCCCATCATCCTGGTGACTACCCACCTCCATTCCACCATATACCTCTATTCTATTAGCCTACCATCCCACCATCATCCCACCACCCTCTTCTATCCCACCAACCACCTCTGTTCCATTACCATCCCACCTCCCACCTTTATTCCACCTTTTCCCACCACCCACT